TGGTGGTGGGGGGAGGGGCAGCGGGAGTGTCGCCCCAGGCCCTCTGCCCCCCCCTCCTCCCCCCCGCAGGAGCGCTTGTCTCAGTGGGGACGGGTCAGAACCAGCAGGACAGTTCTTCACCCACCTACAGCCTGACCTTTGACCTCGGTCTCCAGCAGAACGGTCACCTTCTGGGCTGCAGCCCACGTTCTCGACCACTGATCAGACACTGGGACTCTTTTATCCCATTTGCTTCTCACAGAGGGGTCAGAGGTCACAGGTCAGGGTCAGACAACAAGTGGTGCCACCAGAGCTGGAGGTGTCTCCATGAAGGTCACATGAGGTGAAGTGGGCGGAGTCTCTGTTGTGACTTCATCTCTCCTGGTTTGTTCATTAGTAAACACTGAAGAACGTCTGTTCTGAGGTTGTGGGTTTGATTCCCGCTCCAAAGAATCCACTGGTTCTAAACCCTTTAGCACCGACTTGAGTGGAACACTGTACTACAGTACATACTACAGTACACACTGTACTACAGTACATACTACAGTACATACTACAGTACACACTGTACTACAGTACATACTACAGTATGTCACACTGTAGGACCATGTTTGTGGACCATGTTTGTGGACCATGTTTGTGGACCATGTTCGTGGACCATGTTCGTGGACCATGTTCATCTAAAACGTCTCTCATCCGTCAGGGCTGGACGACAGCGTGCAGCAATACGTCCCGTCTTTCCAGCGCCATCAGGTGGACGGAGAGAAGCTGCTGCGGATGTCCCACCAGGAGCTGCTGTCTCTGGGCATGTCCAGGGTGGGACACCAGGAGGTGCTGCTGGAGGCCGTGGACCTCCTCTGTGCTCTGGTCAGTGACTCTCCAACCTTCACAGTACAGACCAGTACAGACCAGTACAGACCAGCACAGGTGAACCTGAAGACCCTGGTGGGGAAGATGAGGGTCGCTGACCACAACCTGAGCGGCGCCGTGTCCCAGCACAGGAAGAACCCGTCCTACAGCAGCAAGAACTCCCATCAGCCCTCCAACCAGTTCCTGACGGCTGTGGTGGAACTGATCTCAGCTGCCAAGAGTCTGCTGGGCTGGATGGACAGGTGGAGCAGCACACACAGACACTGACTCCTCTCTGTGACTCCCCTCTGTCACTCCTCTCTGTGACTCCTCTGTCTCCCCTCTCTGACTCCTCTCTCTGACTCCCCTCTGTGACTCCTCTGTGACCCCTCTCTGTGACCCCTCTCTGACTCCCCTCTCTGACTCCCCTCTCTGTCTCCTCTCTGTGTCTCCTCTCTGTGTCTCCTCTCTGTGTCTCCTCTCTGTGTCTCCTCTCTGTGTCTCCTCTGTGACCCCTCTCTGTGACCCCTCTCTGTGACCCCTCTCTGTGACCCCTCTCTGTGACCCCTCTCTGTGACCCCTCTCTGTGACCCCTCTCTGTGACCCCTCTCTGTGACCCCTCTCTGACTCCCCTCTCTGACTCCCCTCTCTGTCTCCTCTCTGTGACTCCTCTTTGACTCCTCTCTTTGACTCCTCTGTGACTCCTCGCTGTGACTCCTCTGTGACTCCCCTCTGTCACTCCTCTCTGTGACTCCTCTTTGACTCCTCTCTGTGACTCCTCTCTGACCCCTCTCTGTGACTCCTCTCTTTGACTCCTCTGTGACTCCTCTATGACTCCTCTCTGTGACTCCCCTCTGTCACTCCTCTCTGTGACTCCTCTCTGACTCCTCTCTCTGACTCCCCTCTGTGACTCCTCTTTGACTCCTCTCTGTGACTCCTCTCTGGGACTCCTCTCCGTGACTCCTCTGTGACTCCTCTGTGACCCCTCTCTGTGACCCCTCTCTGTGACCCCTCTCTGTGACCCCTCTCTGACTCCCCTCTCTGTCTCCTCTCTGTGTCTCCTCTCTGTGACTCCTCTGTCTCCCCTCTCTGACTCCTCTCTCTGACTCCCCTCTGTGACTCCTCTCTGACTCCCCTCTGTGACTCCTCTGTGACCCCTCTGTGACTCCTCTCTGTTGCTCCTCTGTGACTCCTCTCTGTCACCCCTCTGTGACCCCTCTCTGTGACCCCTCTCTGTGACCCCTCTCTGTGACCCCTCTCTGTGACCCCTCTCTGACTCCCCTCTCTGTCTCCTCTCTGTGACTCCTCTGTGTCTCCTCTCTGTGTCTCCTCTGTGTCTCCTCTCTGTGACTCCTCTTTGACTCCTCTCTTTGACTCCTCTGTGACTCCTCTGTGACTCCTCTCTGCAGGACTCCTCTGACCAACGACTTCACCTTCACCAAAAGCACCATCATCCAGCTGTGTCTGGAGTTGACCTCTACTGTCCAGAAGGTCAGTGACCGTCTCTCACACACACACACACTCATTGACCGTGTTGTTGTTCCTAAACTCTGGGGTGAATCCTGTTTTTACAGGACTGCAGTGTTTATGAGATGGAAGAGAAGATTCTGGAAGTGGTGAGGCCTGCCTGTGTGTGTGTGTGTGTGTGTGTGTGTGTGTCAGTTTCCTGTCACTCTTCCTGGTTGGAGCAGGAACAGCACAGTGAAACAGGACTGTGGGATTTGATCTGACCCTTCCTGTTTCCCATGACCTCTGACCTCTGCTGTGGTCCAGGACACTGTGTCTGGTCAGACAACAATTAAAAATGTTCTAAATGTTTTCATGTGGCTCTTTTAACATTATGTCCACAACACTGCCCCCTGCTGGTCGGAGTCTGTTGCCCCCTTTATTTCTCTGTGACGTCAGCAGTCGTTCTCCTGTCTTTAAGTCACGTGCTCTGACCTGCATCTGTGAGAAGACGGTCCAGACGACCTCTGACCCCTCCAAGAATGAGATGGCCTGTCTGGAGGAGGTTCACATTACCAACGTCCGACCAGGCGAAGGACTGGTGAGTCAGCGGGGTCAGCGGGGTCAGCGGGGTCAACAGCTGTAAAGTGACTCCTGTTCTGAACGTTGTTGAATCGTTTCAGGGGATTTACATCAAATCAACGTACGACGGACGTCATGTGATCACAGGAACCACGGAGAATGTGAGTCCCTGACCTTGACCTTGACCCTGACCCTGACCCTGACCTTGACCCTCTCTGACCCCACTGTTGTTGTTGTGGTCCAGTCTCCTGCAGACAGAACCCAGAGGATTCACGCTGGAGACGAGGTCATTGGGGTCAACCAGCAGACGGTGGTGAGTCCAACAGCTCCACCTAGGTTTCTTCTACACCTTCAGACCTTCTCACTCTTCATTGACGCCATCATCTGCCCTCTGATTGGTACAGGTCGGTTGGCAGCTGAAGCATCTGGTGGACAAGTTAAGGGCGGAGACAGGAAGTGTAGCCCTGGTGGTGAAGAAGAGACCGTCAGGCATCACAGGCAGTTTTGTTCCTGCTCCACTGAAGAACATGCGCTGGAGGTCCCCACAGGTGCAGGTAGATGGTTCTAGAAGAACCAGATTGGGCTGATAGACACTTCATTACTGGGTACAGTGAAGCAGCAGCTGCTGTGAACTGGTGACCTGAAATCACTGATATATATGGACTTTGGTCTGAACTAAAATCTCTGATTTTCTCTATGGACTTTGGTCTGAACTAAAATCTCTGATTTTCTCCATGAGGTTTGGTCTGAACTAAAATCTCTGATTTTCTCTATGGACTTTGGTCTGAACTAAAATCTCTGATTTTCTCTATGGACTTTGGTCTGAACTAAAATCTCTGATTTTCTCCATGGACTTTGGTCTGAACTAAAATCTCTGATTTTCTCCATGGACTTTGGTCTGAACTAAAATCTCTGATTTTCTCTATGGACTTTGGTCTGAACTAAAATCTCTGATTTTCTCCATGGACTTTGGTCTGAACTTAAATTCTTAATCTGAGCTGTGAAAACAGAGCTGAGGTCAGTGTGTCTTCACCTGGTTGTGCCCCTACCCTCTGGGTCAAAGGTCATCCCAGCTTACGTCAGTTTTGTGCTACAGAGACCCAGGAGCTGCTGGTCCTCTGCTGCCTCCTGTGGTCAGATTGTGTAACTGAGGTAGTCCATGTGGCGTAGACAGCAGCCTGTGTTTCATGCTGACGGACAAACAGGGCAGAGAATTTCCTGTGTTTGTCAAAAAGCAGACGTTGTCAGAGGTGAGGAAGGAAACGGTTCCTGGTGGAGCTGGACCAGGAACATGTTAGTGTTTAGGAATGAAAACATGCTGCGTCTGAACAAACACTGACTGAAGCAGAAAGTACTTCCTGTTCAGAACTGTTTCTGTTTCAGACGTCTCAGAGAACCTCAGGAGTCTACAGACCTCAACCACACCAGAACCCAGACAGTCTTGGACCCAGAGCCTCCGTCCTGGACCTGTACCTCCCTCCTCCTCCTACAGCTCCGTACTTCCCAGTGTGAGTGTCAGACCTACAGTCTGAACATGGTCGCCCCGCTCCTCCTTCACCTCCTTCTTGTCCTCCTCTTCCTCGACAGGACCACCATCTCAGCTTCAGGCGTGGACCTCAGACCCCGGTCTCCAAACTCCTGCCTGGACTCAAACCCACGACCACGCTTTGGTGTCTCACGTGACATTACGATGTCAGATGTGGCCCCGCCCCCTGAAGTCAACCAGCCAATCCCGGTCCGTTATCGTGCTCGTTCCTCCGCTCACTGTGAGTGACTTGAACAGCGCTCCGTCAGTCAGACCGTGGTTGTACCTTCTCTCAAACCTTGGTTTCTCCTCCGTCTCTGCAGCCAAACCTCGGCCCGTCTCTATGCCCGTGGAGTCTCTCTGTGGCTCCGCCTCCTCCAGGCCCGGCGCTCACAGAAGGAAAGGTGAGTCAGGGTCACCTGACCAGCGTAGTCTTTGGTTCAGAGGAGACTTCCTGTAGAAACCCTGACGTGTGTCTGTGTCTCCTGAAGGTCACGACCTCCTTCACAGGTGCCTGAGTAACGAGGGCATCAGCTCCATCACCGAGGAGGAGCCCTGTTACCCCCTGCCCTACCGCGGCCACCCATCGGTCCGCGGGGTCGACCACATCAGAGGGAGCCAGTGCTTCATTAACTCAGACCTGCACAACAGCGCCACCATCCCATACCAGGAAGCGTCTTCCAAGAAGTCCGCCACGTCCGCCGCCGTTTCTCCTCCTGCTCCGACCAAACAGTCCAAGTCTCTGCTCACAGGGTGGTTGGCTCGACTCCGACTGCTCAGCCATTGATCCACTCAAAACCACAGCGCCACCGTCTGGACTGGAGAGGAGACTGAGAAGGTAGGATGTTAACACTCCACACTCTGATCCAGCTGGACTTTTGTTTCCTTCAACTTCAAATGTTATTGCTAAAAAAGTTCTACAGAACCGTTGACTCCAAAAACCAGTTCTCTTCAGGATTCTCCAGGAAACTCAGGTCAGTCTGACACCTGTGGTCAGTGGAGACGAGTTCCTCCGTTTGAGGAAGTGCTTTAGCTTTATTTTTGTACTAACAAGGAGCCATGTAGTACTACTGCACAAGTACTACTGTACAAGTACTGCTGCACAAGTACTGCTGTACAAGTGTGTACATAAGATGAGATAGAGTTTATTTTTGTAGAAATCTGTGCTGATTTTGAAATGACAAAATTCTTCAATTTTGATCCAAAAAACCAAACCAAGAATTCTAAATTTGTGGAAAAACTGTTCTCTTTATAAAAAAATATTTGAACGTCTAATTAGAATTCTAAGCGTGTGGAAAAACTGTTTATAAAAAAATATTTGAACGTCTAATGGAACAACTGTTCAAACACTGTTTAAAGACACGGTTTAATCATTAAATATTATGAATAAAGTTCTCAGGGTTTTTAACTGTTGTGACCTTTGACCTCTGCTCTAATTAGCATCTTATGCTATCAAACATTTCTTCAATATTTCTCTGTTACAACAAAACAGAATTATTTTCTGCTGATGACATCATT